TCCCAACTCACACAGAATCTAACACCATCTCCCTGGTCCTTTCATCCCAAGTCTCACAAAATTCAACAACAAGTTCCTCAGGTACGGTAGCAAACCTGCCAAAACCTCACAAAACCTGCTGTTGGAGTTTGGCAGGTTTTGGGCAGTTAGGGTTAAGGAAATGCAGTTCAATTGGATAATAATACATAACACCTGTGTACATTTGTTTTGCTGCAGGGTATATAAGTGGTCCAAAGAGATTAGCAGAGAACTTATCACAAAGCTTGATGTAGTAACCGGAGCTCAGCGAGTAAAAACGGTAAGTGAAGTACACATACACAATGTATGTGGCGTTTGAGGGCAAGCCCACAATGTTTGGCATGACAAGTCCCATACGTAACCAAGAGACGTTTTACCCTTGGAGACATTCCTGAATTTCAGTGGTTTTTCTGTCTGCTGTTGGTCGGGCAGAATGAGAATACTCACAAGAATTTTCTTGTTACTGGTCTTCGTGATGATTATGTGCTGGAAATTATGGAAAATTGGGCATTACATTTCAGATGAAATGGGGACCTTATTGCGGACTTGAACTTCTGGTATTTTACAGTGATGAATGAGGGGGCAATAGGGTCATGCCTCCCTCCCCCTAAGAAGGAGAAATAGAAGAGGAAAAAGAGATATTTTTGCAGGACTTTTTCACTTCTATTCCCTTCCAAAAGCTGTAAAATCTGTAAATTGAGCCTCACTCCTCAGAAAAGCCATAAGGGGGTACATGTATATGCAGAAACTTCAATATCCTCCTCCCCCCTCCGTCCCATAGTTTTGCCCCCCTTTCTTACCCCATCTATCCCTAAAATTAGTTTAAGATCCTGCCTGGTTGATCTCAACTTCAGGTTATGCAAAGTGCTAGTTGCTCGGTGTATTAATTACAGTATGTACGTAACTACTGGGTATCTGTATACAGTTTAATTTCTTACTGTTGGTTCAGTTCACAACTGTGGCGAGCAACATTTTTATGCATTAAATTTTCATCGAAAAATTTTCGCTTGAAATTATGAAATCACATAGAAGTGTATTTAGCACTTCATACATGTGATACATGTTTAAGATCCATGCACATGTTGCTCAAACTTGTAGGAGAATAAAATGTAATCCGTTATACGCATTGCTAGAGCCGGTGATTGGTACATGCACATGTACAGGCACATGTACATGCACATGCGCATGTACATGCACATGTACATGTTTGTACATGTATGGGTACAATGTACAGTGATGAATCTTTGGGGGGCATTGCCATTTCAGTCATGTTTTAACAAGTCTTTCAACCCCCCCAAAAAAAACTTGTATGCATATGTACATGTGATATATGGACATTTACATGTAGGCCTACGTTTTACAATTCATTCACCATTTCACCCCTTCATCTTCCCACACCCCCCCTCCCATTGACATGCATGTGTGTATACATGTACTTACTGTACATGTAATGTATGCACCAGTGAAGTGATGGAGAAAGTGTTGAACGTGGGGAAAAGGTAGGGATACATGTGCATAGATGAGTAAGATGCTAGTGTCCTTCACCTGCATATTGAGATTACTAATGAATAACATTAATCTACACACACACATACTACAGTATACTATTCTCCATGATGGTCATCATCATGCACAGGAGGTCTGGCCTGGCTGACACCAGTCGGCTACTGTACATGTACAGTACATGTACACCTAGAAGGATGCCATGTAAATTATGATATACAGAGTGAATACATGTGTATATGTACATGTATGTGATGACCTTTGGGTAATCCCAGACCAAGCTCTATGGGGGTAATGGAACAGTTCGGAGACTTGAGCATGTTTGCTATGGGTTCGTGAATTGTACAGTACTGTACATGCAAGCGGTACCAGCAATTATAATGTACAGTACATGTATGTGTGAAAATGAAATGGAAGGCTTAGAAATTTATGCTTCTCAATTACAGGTGCATGTATGCATGCACCTGTAGTATCAATTATGGATAGTATGGTAGATGTACATGTATGATGATTAAGCAGCCTCAGTGAGATGATTCGTGTACATTGTGTAAAGTAAGGTAAATTGTGGCCATACGTGACAGGCATTCCATGTAATTGGTAGGGACGTTTGCGCCATAGGGCCAGTGCTTTTATTATCATGATAATTAGATTGTGTAGGGACATGTACTGCTACACGCCTACACACCTTACGGTTCATTTCATTGAATGTGGGCCAATTCACACACCTGTACTGGTACCAGTACGGTACATGTACATGTGTTGTGCAGCCAGGCTAATACGCTTTGAAATTTTATAATTTAAGTTGTAAGTGAATATGTTAAAACTTGTTAGTGCGAGTTGTAATGAGGTGCTGTACATGTACATGTACATGAGCAAAATGAACACTTTTGTATTTTCACAGAATGCACACTGTACAGTCTGTTAAAAAATACAGTTCGATTTTTACAAGTAACAGCTTGAACTTGGCATGTTCTTGTCGGACAGTCTCTTCTCATTTCCTTGCCTTTAAACTGAAAGAACTCTCTAAAATCATTTTTTTTACCAGTAAACTGTATAGGCTGATACTGTATTACGTAAATTTGGTAAAATGCTCACGTATATTGCTCTTGCTTTGGACTACGGTACATGTAGTTGATGCCATGTGTGTGACCTTGAATATTTGTATGTCGTGTTCAATCCTCATAACTGTCAGAGGATTGATTGGACTACAGACCATGTAGGCCTACATGTACATGTACCTGTACCATTAACCCTCCTATGCTGAAGTCACTCTTTGAGTCACTTGGTAAACACCTCAATGAAGCACAGCTGTGTCCTGTTGTGCACTGCACCAACTGTCCCTCACAGG